ACACACACACACACACACCAACACACCAGACTAACACGACACACTAAACAACCCCTTCCCGGCCAGATATATCAGGGGACCCGACACAGATCGTTATGAGTTCCAGTGCGCTGTCCTCCTACTGCGCCTGGATAAACGAGAGCAAAAGGCTTTACAAGTTCCAGGTTACAGATCAGCCCCTTTGGATCAGGTCATCAGGAAAAGCACCAGAACAACAAGAATGTGAGTAAGAAAACATGCATTGTTTTGGGGTAATATTTGGGTTTAACCATATACTTTATAGTTTGTAAGACACAAATGGGCATGCAACTAAAGCACTTGCTATTAGAAAGTGAACCAATTGAGAATTTATTAAGTACCAATAAAAATAATGATTCATCGATCCACAACAGTATCAGACAAGACCCATTTTGTACTTACGTTTTTTCAAAAGAATATAACAATCTCATCACTGGCACCTGTATTTTTAAGAACCTGAAGTTATAACCCACAAAATTTAACATGGATTTATACACTGCTACTTAAGATATAAAACGTTATGATAAAGAAATATATTTCATTTAAAAAGTCCAGTGTCGTAGAATATTATTTTCGCATCCACAACAGTTCAGTAGCCCAAGTACTTACGTTTTTTCAAAGACATACTCTCTCACCTGCCTGCTTTTTTCAAGACATGAAGTTTAACCCACAAAATTTCATGGATTTTATAAGATAAAAATGTTATGATAAAGAAACATTTCTTTAAAGGTCCAGCAGTGTGTAGGATTTAGTGAAATCTATTGGTGTAATTGAAAATTGCAAATATGCTGCTTCAACCTCCTCTGAGCGCAAAGGATGGACGATGGCCACAAAATGCTGGTGTTTGGTTTGTCCCTTTGATTACTGTAGAACCAGTGTGGAAGGTGACCCTTGGCATTTTTAGGTCCAAAACCATTCCTATATTCAGGTTATTACACACCAATAAAAACATACCTATGCATATATCCCACTTGTGCTAATAGATCCTCCAAAACACTGCACCCTTAATTTTGATGTGGGGACATATTTTGTGCAATATATTTTATGTTATTAGCCTTTGACCACTATTGCTACCTACCTTGGCCAGGTAGCTCTTGAAAGAGAGACCTCCGTGGGGTTTTTATTTTGTTTTCACAATCACAATGCCTTCCTGTTGTCCCGTAAATTGGCCCCTTTAGTGCGGTGATTCACCAGGCAATTTTAGGCAAAATAGATGCTCCTATTAACAAGCAATAAACTGACATGGGGTAAAAATTCTATTCAACTATTTTCAGGCTAGAAACTGTTTTTTTTTTATCCTGTGAGATTAAAGTAACAATGCTGAGTCAACTCCTCTGGCACTGTTCCCCTAACAGATATGCTCAGGAAAGTTGCCCTGTGTATCAGCGCCTAAAGTAGTTTCTTGTTGTTCAGCAGTCGTGATGATGTCACATGAAGCAGTCGAGCGTCAGAGAGCCTTTTCAAAGCATATCTTTAAGCAAGGGTGACATTATTTTGTAGTTAAGCCTTCCGTGTTTTTTAGAAGTGTCAGTTGAAATTTTGCTAATTAAAATTTATGAAGTATGTTGAAGGGATGCCTGCAGTTCCTACGGGTTATTATGCTTATTTGTGTCAAACATATTGTGAATAACTCCCTTTGACAATAATTCCCTCTCCCTCTCTCCCTCCATTTCTCATCGATTTAATCCTGTGTCACTTTTCTCAGCTGGGACTCCTCTGTGCCAGGTTTTACATTCTCAGACATGTTCATCCAAGTGTCTACTCGACTGTCATCCGAGTATGTGTATGGCTTTGGAGAGACGGAGCATCCCACCTATAAACACAACCTCAACTATCACACCTGGGGTATGTTCTCCAAGGACCAGCCGCCTGGTGTAAGTATCATATTAAAGCACATTAAGTAACTTTACTGAAAACATGAGTATAGCACTAATGCTTATCAGGTTTAGCTGTTATTTCACACTGTTGTTGATGCATAGTTTACTAGCATATCATATGTTTGAGGGAATGTTTCACTGGAACTGATTTCCATGAACAAAATTTGACATTGAATGTAATTATTGTTTACAGCAGTGACACCCCGCCCTTTTTAAAGCCTTGGCATCAAAACTAATTTTGTGGTTGTTACGGCACATGTAACAAAGCACCGTGCACCAAATATCTTTAACATAACACCCTCTAGACTGCAGAGGTGACTTGTAAACAACCTTCCTGCACAGTATGTAAACTTGTCTCTTTCACATTCGTGTCACTTTGATGCAATGCTGTTGATATGAGCAGCGGTTATAGAGTGTCATCATGTTTTTCCTACCAGTGTCAAGGCCAGACAGGATGAGGTTTCCACCTGCATCAGCATTATCAAGCCTAATTGCTGAGCTGTCAAGACAGCTCCACAGGGTTTAGACTAATGTTATGAGAGCCCCTCGGAGAGCAAGGAAATTAGAGTTAGAAAAAATGATGAAAATGGACTGTATTTATTATATTTTCATATACTAATATTAAACCAGATAAGACAACATTTTAAATAGGACTTCACCACATAAAGATCATAACCAAATGAATACATAGATCATTAACTTTTAGTAAAAGTATTTTAAGAATACCAAAATCAATGTTTTTCACACATTTAACAGAATTAACAGAGAACAGAATTCAGTAATTTTCTGAAGCTCAATAGCGTTGTCTGGCACAAAATACCCACAAACTCTGAGGGAACAGCATGGATCTGTAATTTGCAAAGACACAGATACTAACTAAAACTAGGTTGTGTGAATACATTATAAATATAATAATATTAAGCTTTGCTCAACTTAAATCCTGTTTTATTTAGAAGAGTGTCCACAATTGGACTATTACAATCCATGTAATTGTACCCAGAATGAGGGAAGAAAGACCGGCAGACAGAAACCGCCTTTTTTTTTTAGTGGGTGAGCTAATGACCTTCCTCCTTCTGCAGTCAGGCCATCACAGCATGTAGCAGTGTCACAAGGACACACACACACAGCAAAAAAAGCCAACATCCCCACAAAACTGACACAGAGACAGAGCCGGTCCTCAAAGCCATTATGATACAGTTTAACAACTTACCTGAAGTGCAGGGAGCTAATGGAGTGTGACGTGCCCATGAGTTTAGGTTGCGAGGGGATGACATCTTAAAGTGGCAGATTCCTGTCCCCCACCACCTCCCTATCTGTCTTGTTCCATCCTCATCTAACCACTGAAGACAACAGTTGGACCCTCACAGTAGTTACAGGAGGAACAGTCCACACTCTGAGACTCAGCTCATTCCCACTAGAGCAATATATCGCCACATATGCATAATTACTGAAACACCCTACTCAGTGTGCATGCAGATAATCAATGCAAGCACACATATATCAGCAAAAGACAGATGTTTATTAACATGTGATTAACTGGCACAGTAAACAATAAAAAAATAATGAATGACCGATTTAAGTAATGGTTAAGTAAGCATTACACACTATTTTTGCAAAAGCAAAAAAAAAAGTTCTGCCCTGTTTATAATTTGCCAAGCAAATTATAACTGAGTTTGGTAAACATAGCTTTTGTCATTAATTTTAATGTTCTGTATGCTACATTTAGGACTTCATGATTTTATTACAGCTACCAACAGCAACTCAAATCCCCAAATTATGTCCCAGTTCTCATTTGTTATCTTCAAACTCAGGCCAGGGAGGAATTTGGGGGATTTGGGAGTGCATTTGGGTGCTATAACTAACACAGAAAGTATATCTTTTAATACATGCTTTAGTCAGTGAACATTCATTTGCATAGATGATAGTTCTAGGAATATCTTTCCCTATTTTTGGGAAAACTGTAGGATGTTGACATTGCACTGGAAGCAAGCCCACTGTAGCAGTGTTGTTGTCATATCCATAAATACAATGAGAAATGCCCTGTCAGGTGTAAAGAAAAATGCTCATGAATAAACAAAGTAGCACACAAGCAAACATTTGTACAATCCACAGAACAGACCAATTCTTTAACCAACATTCACCTATCTCGCACTTTCACTTTTATTCTGACTCTCTGTCTACAGTACAAGATGAATTGCTATGGAGTTCATCCCTTCTATATGGGCCTCGAGACCACTGCTGATGCCCACGGTGTGCTGCTACTAAACAGCAATGCCATGGGTGAGAGAAACACACACAAAAAAGGCACACACGTGCTTGACCATGTGCAACGCAAGTGCATCTCCATACTGTGCACTAAATGCAACCAACCACTCTCACATGCACACACAATCACACTTGCATATGCAGTGAGCATCTATGTATAATGAGTGAGGCCGTTTTCCATATGTTGAGCACATGTCTTATATAAGGGCCAACACAGCACAATGAGCACTTTCCTCTTTCCTCTACTTTTGTGCACTTTTTTTTTTTTTTACAGTAATACACACTTGCACAGAACACAGACATGCATCATACATATTACACATACCTTTCTCACACAAGACAAAGAGCAGAGTTACTCATTCTGTGCCAGTGTCGTTCTAAAGCTATTCACCAGTATGTCATGGTATAATTCAACTGTCCTTATGAAAAAGTGAAAGAAATACGGTATTCCACTCAGCTTTATCGCTCCCACACAAAGACACCAATGCTGAGATTTTCAGAAGGTGCATATATGTCTTGTTTGCTTTGTGTCCAGATGTGACTTTCCAGCCTACTCCAGCTTTAACCTATCGAACTCTGGGAGGCATTCTGGATTTCTACATGGTCCTGGGACCTACGCCTGAAATGGTTGTGCAAGAGTACACTGCAGTAAGTCTTCTTGGACTTCTGGTCTGTTTGTGTGTGTGACTGTGTGCATTTGTGTGTGTGCCTCTGCACCTATGTGTGTGTGTGTGTTTTGTGTCTGGCCCTGGGCCGCTGTTGATGGACTGCAGCAGCTGGGAGTTCCTCGCTTCATTGCGCTCTTTCATTTAGCCTATCTAAACACACACTCGTGCACACACACACACAAACAATCAAACAAACACTTTATGGATGCTGTCCTGATTTCCTAAAAAACAACTTTTTTCTGTGCTGAACTGTTTTGACTTCCTTGTTTGTTTTTCTTCTTAACAGCTGATTGGACGACCTGTTCTACCTGCCTATTGGTCTCTCGGGTTCCAGCTCTGTCGCTATGGTTACACCAACGACCAGGAGATAGCAGATCTATACAGAGACATGAGGGAAGCTGGTATACCCTATGTAAGTTCTCAGACAAATACTTTTTTTTCATATGTCTGAATTCAAGATGAGAACAGCACTGTCACAAGAGTATTGATTACAATCACATAGGAGAAAAGAATATTCTAAGCATTAAAAAAATTAAATTAAAATACTACAGAAAGCATCCTCTTCTCAGATGCACCTCTTCCAAATGTTGATTCTGGTTACAGTGAACCAAATAAACAAATCAGACACAGTTAAATACTAGACTGCAAAATGAGAAGGATTAATAACTCTTGGGAGAAAAGGACCATGAGCCCATTGCATAAAACACATTAATGAAAATATCAAACCTCACGCATCACAACTTCACTAAAGTGATTTAAAATAACAGAATATTATAGGACACAATGCTGGTGTTGCACACATACATCTTATCCAATTAAATTCAGGTTTGTTTGCCTGCTTTTGCCAAAGCACTGACTTCATTCAATCAGTGTCTCAGCACAAGGAATCATTTTACTGCCCACATCCGAACAGATGCAATCTGATAGCTTCTTCTTGTCCACTAAGTTGTATAGTATGGGGAATTGTACTCAGACTGAGCTTATTCTAACAGACCATGTTTTACAATATGATTCAGTGGAATACGTACATAAAATTCAATTAGATAAAACAAGGTATTGGGATGAAGCAAAATGGAGACACTGACTTCATGGACTACATGGGATACATTCAGTGTAACCTAATGAAATGTGACCTCTAATTTAATTTGAAATGCATTCCATTGTAGGTTCCACAGCCGTGTCCAGTTTGTACCAGGACTAGTAATTCTCTCCGACAGTTAAATCCGGGGTTCACATTTGAATAACATTTTTGCAAAACAGTATAAAGAAGCGAGTGTGTAATAAAACATAATCAGGAACATTAATCTGGGAGAGCACTGTTCTTGACTACGTCAAGATGTCACATGTGGAAACAGGCCAGAATCCCATCCTCTTCATCATGCAGAGCAGAACATAAGAATCTCCATCGATAATCAAGTGATCCCCAGAATATGCTTTCACAAAGCCCTATCCTGCAAGGAGCTGACGCCAGCCAAAAGGATCCTGCATCATTAACTGGAATGAAAGAAGCAGAAAATGCAGCTACTTAGAAAGGCTACACATCAGGTAGCTTTAGAGACTAACCAACCTTAAACTGTGGCAGACACACCAGGCAAACAAAGCAGATGAAGTATTGTTTTTGCTGGAAGAAAGAGCCCTCACTTCTCACATATCTCAGGTGTTGCATGTACATATGTACAAACAAACTTTCAAGATTCCCATGTTTATAGGTAGGAATACCAACATTTGACACCATTGTAGAAAAAAGAAAATTTCCTAACCTGATATCTAAGTTAAAAATAATTTATTTTTTACAGCAGTCACACATTTAATTTAATAGCAGCTGAACTTGCAGCAAAACAGTTATCCAAGGACTAAAGTAAAATTGCATGCCCTAATAAAAACGCTATGTCTATTACAGTGAGTTTGTCATGCTGATGTTATAAAACAGAATAACCCTTATAATACAGGAAGATATTGCTGTTTAAATCACTGCTATGTGTAGTTTTAATTCCTGTCTGGTTCCTCTATTTTTAATAAAACAAAGTGGGTTTAGTCAATTTCAGCTGTAAATGTCATCTGCTGCAGGATGTGCAGTATGCAGACATTGACTACATGGACCGTCAGCTGGACTTTGTTCTGGACCCCGAGTTTAATGGACTACCCACCCTGGTTGACCGCATGAGAGGAGAGGGCATGAGGTTCATCTTCATTCTGGTAATGCCATTATATCATAAGCTGCTGATAAAGTCACAAGTGGGCACAAGGATCACCAACCATAGGCAGATATAAATATTATATAGATAAATGAATGAAGCTTCTGTGAGGTGAATCTGTGAAGGCTGAATGTTAAAGTACTGAATCATTAGCTACTCTCTAGTACTAAATTCTAAGAGTTGTGTGTATTATAATTTCAGGATCCAGCCATCTCAGGTAATGAGACATCTTATTACCCTGCCTTTGAGAGAGGTAAAGCAGCAGATGTCTTCATCAAATGGCCCAAAAACATCAGTGATGAAATTGTGTGGGGGAAGGTAAGAGGGAATGGATGTCCAAACAAACAAGTGGAAAAACACACAAGCACATATTGATACAGAGAGATTGAAACTGACAGACAAAATGATGGCTTTTTCATATTGTGTGCTGGTATAATTGTCCTGCACCCTTTTTGCAGGTCTGGCCAGATTACCCTAATGTCACAGTAGATAACTCTTTGGACTGGGATACCCAAGTAGAGGTACAATATTTTCTTTATTTTTCTTGATTTTCTCTGCTGACACATAACACTTCCTAGCTTCCAACATATTGGAAAGTATGCAGACAAGATCATGAAATGGCCCCTTTATGCCATAATTACAACAGTGTGGGTCAGAGGCAGAGCGGGTCGTCCCCCATTCGGAAAGGTTGTTGGTTCGATCCC